GATGTACCAGCTGAACGCTGTGCCCGGGCGCACCTTCGCCGCACTGCGGCTTGACCGGCAGGATGTGGACGACCCGTCTGAATACGGTTCGACTGATGAAGGCTCCCCTGAGACCTCGAAGTGTGATACGACGGCAAGCGGGTCTGGGATGTTGGCTAATGTACTGAAAGTTGTGTTTAGCACGTTTCCCGTTCAGCAACGGCTGCACGCCATACAACCTTTTCTACAGCGCTGGAATGTTCGTGTGCCGCAGAGGATTGACAGTGTGGCACTGGAAGACTACTTCTCTGATATGATACAGAGACTGTCGCTGAAAATTAACCGCGTGATGGAGCGCAAGGGCCAGGTGTTGGGAGGGAAACCGTGTGATTTTGCTAGTACCTGGGGCACCAATCGTATGAGCAACACTAGTGGGGGCGTTGGCAAGGCTGAGGCGGAGGTCGGGCTTCCCACTGTTGCGCCTGTGCGCCGCTCAGTGGTTTTTTTAGAGAACCCCATGGATGCCACGAGCATGAGGGAAAAAAGTGGGACCGAAACGAGCAGGGGGAGTAAGTCGCTTCAGTCTACTGGCTCACAAGTGTGGTAGAGTTTGGGCGGCTGTTGTGCTCGAATCTGCCCTGTTGCGAGCGTGGCCCTTTTTTTTTGTTGAGCTGCGCATTGTACTAGTCTTTTCCTATATTTTCGTATGCATCTCTCTTTTTCTCTGCTCCTTTCTTCAGATATAAATAATATGTGCCTGTGTGCGTTTGGCGCGGCATGCTCCTCGGCTCTTGGGGCCGCCCCCCTGCATCCGTTGCCTCCATGTCTTTCGCACCACCGGCGACCGTGGGAGTGCGCCGTTCGTAGAGGGAAACAACAAAACGGTGCTTCTCCGTGTTGAGAATGATATCTGAATGTGGTGTTTGTGGGGATGAAGCACACATTGTTTGCGGTGGATTTGTGTTCCTCGCTCGTTTTTCTTTTGTTTATTTGGATTATCAAACTGCCTGATTCATGTCTAAAAAAAAAGCCGTCACCGCATGTGGCCTGCGCCGCAGCCTTCTTGAACTCACTTCTTCATGAACAGAGAGACTTAGTGACACCGTCTGTTCCCTTCTTTCCATCAGCCTTGACGCACCAAAGTATTTCGCTGTCTATACACTTCACGTTTGCAAGGGTCTGTTTCCTAGTGAGGTATGTAAATTAATATCACCAACTGCATGTAACTTATCCTCTCTCTGTGGAGCTGGCAATATGACACACAAAGCGCATGTACGAATTGTGTGTGTGTGTGTGTGTGTGTGTAGGCGGCATGTGGAGGCCAGCCGCAGTACGGCACTGTACGGTGCCCGTTGTGTGTGACTCTCCGTCCCCTGCTGCCAGGAGCCAGGTGCCACGCGCTGCAGGTTAGGCTGACGCATTCGGGGTAACGTCAGAATTTCTCGTGGTGGCCATTCGAGGCTTGCTATATTTTGACTCGTGCAGCCACCCACCCTTCTGGTCTCCTCATTTTCTCAAGACGGTAGAGAGTAGTAATAAACAATGCGTGATTCACAGGGACCGCTGCGTTGTACACTTGGCAACGTGCAATTTGAACGCGTTGCGGAAAGCATCTCGAAGTGGTGATTACCGTGCAGCGCAGGGATGTACGGAAGTGAAGTCCTACGTACCAAGTGCGAAGCGGGGATTACGCTTCATCCCAGAGGGATGCTGCACTATGTGTGCGTGACGGTACATACTGGTGTTGGTTTTTTTTTATCGCAGTGGCTGTTTATTCTCTAGAGCAGCTCGCTATGGGCACCAACAATGCTCTTCTCGCTTCGGTTGGTTGGATTCACTTTGGTAACATCCGGCAGGACGAGGTGACGAAGGGCTACGACTACTACGGCTGGACGTCGAACACTGCTGCGCGCACTGAGAGCGTTGGTAACGGCGGGCAGGTGCTGCTGACGGGTGCGGCGTACCTGGCGCTGAGCACGGCTGAGCGTGAGCAGCTGGACGTGACTGCGCTTGGCGGTGTGGCTCTGTGCGGTGTGCCTGTGCCTGTGGCGATGTACCAGCTGAACGCTGTGCCCGGGCGCACCTTCGCCGCACTGCGGCTCGACCGGCAGGATGTGGACGCTTGTGATGAGGTGGATGATGGTGCGTCGAGCAGTGATCATGATTCAATTAACAGTAAGTTCAATGATCATGCGAAGTGGATCATGTCGGTGTTAATGACTGTGTTTGGTGCCTTCACCCCACAGCAACAGTTGAATGAGGTTCTTCTGTGCTGTGAGCGGTGGAGTATTCAAGTCCCGCCGAAAGCACCCAGTATGCCTGATGACCTGTACTGCAGTAGATTGGTGAGTTTCCTTGCGCAGAGGCTTGAGAAGGTAATGCAGCGCCAGGGTCTTTTGGAGAGGCAAATGTCGTTGACGTCGACGGTGAGCAACTCCGGGGGCCGTTCCCTGCTTCATTGTTTCTTTGCGTCGAGTTATGGCGAGAGTTTTCTTCGTTCTGGAGCTACAGTGGGGACGTCTTTCAGAAGACATTCCGTTGAGCTGCAGTCGGGACCTGCAGATGTGCAAGACTGCACGACGGGTTCGGTGAGCGCTACTGGCAGTATTCAACGAGACGATCCGTTGACGGCTACACCCACCACGCTGAAGTGAGTGTTTTTTGCTGGATGAGCGTGGGCTGCAGCCAATCCTTTTATCGACGTGTTTTGCGCTGTGTGGTGTATGAAATGTGTTGCTTGATTCCTGTGGTATATTACGTGTCTCCGGGTAGTGTCAGGCGCGGGGTGAGGTTGCTCACACTTGGCCTCTCCCTGACGTCTGGNGTGTTGCTTGATTCCTGTGGTATATTACGTGTCTCCGGGTAGTGTCAGGCGCGGGGTGAGGTTGCTCACACTTGGCCTCTCCCTGACGTCTGGCTCCTGAGAAGAGCACAGCTGTCTAAATATTACGTGTAGCACCTCTGCCATGCTAATGGGCTGTATATTATGCGGCCCTGTGCAGTTGTCAAAGGGGCCTCACTTGGGTGACGGAGAGAGCGCACCTGTGCCTATTTCTTGTGTATTTGTGGAGTATGTGGTTTAGTATGTGGTAGGGGTCAAGCCCCTTGTTTCTTTTTTTGTACACCTTGCCTTTGGCCACCACACGATTGCTTTGCCCTGTCGTCTGGTGGCTGTCTTGTAAATGACTGCTGTGTATTTATTGAGGTGCACGCGGTGACACTTGAACCCCGCACTTGCACNCCCCTTGTTTCTTTTTTTGTACACCTTGCCTTTGGCCACCACACGATGGCTTTGCCCTGTCGTCTGGTGGCTGTCTTGTAAATGACTGCTGTGTATTTATTGAGGTGCACGCGGTGACACTTGAACCCCGCACTTGCACGTAAACATGTGGTGAGTCCACAATGCGTATATATAAATATAGGACTCTGAGCGGGTGAGGAGACATGCGGCCTCTCTAGGCTTGCTGTGGTTGTTGTTCATGTCTCCGGGCGATGTGCATTGCAGACCCACTCTGACTACATTGTTTTTGTACACCAATTTGTTTTGATTCTTGTAATTGGCTGCCTTCCACTGTCTTCCTGGGTGGGACGTGAGAATGGAACCAATTGTGAATGTGTCTTGTGCCAATACATTCTTCCCCTGCTTTGTCCTGCACCGCCATCTCATGGCTGAGCCAGAGAAGATTGTCTTCATGGCGATGCGGCTCCAGGCGTCGTAATGCCCAGAATGTGAACAAACGGTAAATCTCTTTGTGAAAGTGATTTTTATTTTTCCCGCGCCACCGCTCTTGACACTGCTGTCCTTTCCGTGCGTGCCGCCCCCTGGTGGCGCCCGTTGTTGTTACGTATACTCTCGACATGGCCTGTTCTCTTCTGTCCTTCTCACTAATAGCGTCTTGGGACCTGGCGTGAGTGCGCCGCTGTGGAGCCG